AGCCCATTCCAGAGGCTTTCCCTGGGTTCCCGGGTGCTGCAAAGAGCTGAGGGATGAACACCCATTTTACCGTGATGAGGCCGCTTTGACAAAAGATGAGAAGATGTGGAAAAGGCACGAATGCTCGTCTCAGCCCCCATGCCCAGTTGTTTCTCTGTGCCTGGCCTGGTGCTGTGTTCTCCCTTTCCAGAAGCTCCCCACGAGCCATCCTATGACGTATCCATAGGCTTTGTGGCTGATTGATCAAGGTTCTCAGATATTCTGGGGCCAATAGAGACTATGGCTGAGATGCGTTTCGTTTTTCAGTTGTCAAGAGGTTCTTTTTCACGTCTTTGAGACTGGTTGTGCAGGTTTGTCCCTGATAGGAGTTTGCGGCAAGTTCCATGTGACATTTGGTAGCCTCCCCTCAGCGGTTGGCTGTCCTGTCATGCTGCCATCAGCTCCGCTCTAATGCCCTGTTTCAGGACAGTGGTAATGGGACTGCAAGGTTCTTTAATGTGAGAGGAACAGATTGGTCTAATTTTGTGGTCCTAGTATCATCTACAACAGTGCGTCTCAGCCCTCCTGATGCTGCAACCCTTTAATACAGTTCCTCATGCTGTGGTGACCCCCAACCATAAAATGATTTCATTGCTACTTCATAACTGTAATTTTGCTACTGTTAGGTAAATGTCTGATATGCAGGATAGTTGCTACGCCAGCCCTGTGAAAGGGGCGCTTGACCCCCCAAAGGGGTCGTGACCCCAGGTTGAGAACCGCTGTTCTACAGCATCTGGCATCTGATAGATTCTATTTTCAGGAAACATGGCTGACTATTATAAAACATACTGTAGAGTCCACTGTGTTTATTTCCCTCAATTCTCATATTCTATTTCCCTCCTCTAGTTTCAGTATTCTTAGACAACAATTTTAGATAGTTTGCAGTGTAATGGGTGTTACTTCCCATATTGTTTCATCCATATATATTTATTCTTTTTTTCTTCACCATACCATTTGCAATGTTGCCAAGGCTGGTCTTGCAGCCCTGCACTGAAATGATCCCCCATCTCCTGCACTGCCCACCTGGCTTCCTTATCTTGCTCTTTTAAAAAAACAAATGTTCTCCCTTAGCATCGACTTTGTCTTTTGTGTCTTAAGTTTAGACATCAATCTAATTTCTATGTGGTTTTCTGTTATCTTAAGTTCCTGCTGGCTTCATCTGCCATCTCTTGCTTGCAGTGAATTTTTTACACAGGATTTTTCTGTCTTAGGCTTAGGAGTTCATCCTGTGGAGATTTCATTTATGGTGTCCCAGATTCACTGAACATAGGACTTATCTCTCCAATGAGAACTAAGTTTTATACCTATTTTCCATCTGAAAGTTCATGTATTCCATAGATATTATAGATTCAAAATCCTGAACCACAGAGGGGAAAAATCCTGGGGATACA